GGGAAGCTCTCGATGTGGTGTGGCACACCTCTTCCTTCTAGCCTGTCCAAACTCACACTAATAACAGACCATAAACCATTGGTGCAACTATTTGGCATCAGGGCTCTTCTAGATATATATGCCATCTACGGCTGTTCAGGTTAAAAGAGAAGACACTGCCTTTCAAGTTCGTTGTGAAGTACATGCCAGGCAAGAAGAACTCGGCAGCTGATTCTGTCTCGATATCCGGAGCTGACAGTACCATCAGAAAATATGGATGAAGATGGGTACAATAGCAGGGAAGTACTAGAGTTGTTTGTAACTGTGATGGACGAGGATGTGGTGGCTATGGACTACGACACCGTGAAGGAAGCTGCAGTTGAGGATGCCGACTACCAACGGCTCATAGCTGGAGTAAGGACGGGTGACTGGCCAGCCAGCAAGTGTTAAGAGTTCATAGGACTACGTCCATACTACCAGGTACGCGATAGATTATCAGTAATGGACAATATGGTAACTATATTCACGCTTGGTTATTCATGAGGTTTTAAGAAATAAAGTGTCTGTACACTTGCATGCAGGGCATTAAGGACTGGATGCCATGCTATAAAGGGCTAGGCAAACTGTGTATTGGCCTGGTATGGAAGCGGATCTCAAGTACCACCGGGACATATGCAGTACATGTGAAGTATGTGCACCTTCCCAGCCTAAAGAATCGTTAATCATGGCCCCACCGCCAGAATACCCATTTGAGAAAACTGTCATGGATTTGTTCTAGCTTAATGGACACATCTGGCCTGTGGATCGTCTGTCAGGATGGTTGGAGGTTGAGCATTTTCCTCAGTCTAATGGCAGGGCCGAGGCTGCAGTCAAGGCCACAAAGCTAATGCTGAGAGGTAACGTGGGAACAGATAGCCAGTTGAACACTAGTAAAGTAACACAGGCGTTGCTGCAATACCTCAATACCCTCCTTAGAGACGGAATGTCACCTGCCCAGCTTGCAGCAGGACAACAGTCAAGGGATGGTGTACCGGCACCAAGACAGCGGTATCTGGTGAATTCGTACTGGTGGCACAACCTGCGGGAGAGAGAATGAGCCCTGACCGCACATTATGCAGAGACAGACGCCGGACCCAGGGGCTGAGGAAGGATCCTCAGAAGAAGACACGAGGGTAAGAATGCAAGATCCGATGTCCAGAGCTTGGGATAGGACTGGGCGAGTCGAGGTCCAACCACACTGGCAATATACGACGGTATTAGAGGGCAGTGGCCGCATTGCGAGAAGAAACAGACCTTACCTGCGTGCAGTACCAGCGCCGAGGGCAGAAACCAGCGTGAGACGGGGAGGGATTGAGCACCAGCCAGTATTGAGACACCATCAACAGGTATGGGGGAACGAAGGAAGGCCCAGGAGAATTAAGCGTCGACCGGCTTATTTGCAGGACTATGTGTAGCATTAATTATTTCATAATAGGCTTATAGTGGCACAGATGCATTCTGTTGTATAGAAAGTTTATTTCTATATTAGGTGTCAAAGTGTATACATTATATAGTTTGATTTTCTTGCTTTTCTTCTGTGGTCATTCTATTTTCTTCTGCATGATAATCTGTTTATGTTGGGCATTATTAGTGGAATTCTTTCTTGATCCAGTAATGTCTACTGTAAGGATATTATAAACGTTAAAATTATTTGTTTGTAATCTGGAAGGGGGTGTAGGATGTGTAGCCTATCAAGTACAAGAATGGTTACTAAGGGTACAATAGCGAACGGAGCGGTAGGGGACGCGAGAGTACATCGTGAGAGGAGGGTTGCGACCAGGCTGATATGTACGGCAGATGTGATCCTGAATAAACCTTCGTAAACCTGGCATGTTGTGTCTCATTTGGACATCTTACAGATTGGCCAAACTTAGTGTTCTTCAAGCAATCATACTAATCACCAGCAATTCATCATCAAATTTGGTGAAATTTTGCTTGTTTTTCGCTACTGATAGGCATTTTAATATAAGCTTCTCAAATTGTAGAAATACCATATCATGTAAGCAGGCTTTTGTAGAATTCCATAAAATGCTGGACTAGTTTTAGAATTTGATTTTCCATATTTGAAAAGTTTTTTGCTATAGACCTTTTCTGGTTTGCGGTTAGTAAAAACTGATTCACCGGATACTTATTAAAAAAAAAAAAAAAAAAAAAAAAAACAAGCAAAACGTTGAAGATTACAGATATTAACTCTTTTTTTCTAGATATTTCATGTTTATTCAAATCACATAAACATAAATATATTAGGCGTGGACTGTAATATTGTGTACGTCTGCCTTAGCACTCCAAGTACTATTTCAACATGAATCCTAGCATTTGCTATTCCTCTGGCCTTCTCTACATCAACAGGGTCCAGTTGGTCTTTGTCTATGGTAAATGTTGGAATTGCAAGTTTTGCTTGGTAATACCTGACACTTTCTTCAATTGTAAACCCCCGGTCTGACATCATTAGGTCTCCAGGTCTCAAAAGATTAAGAAAACCTGAATTTTCTGTCAAAAATTCATCCGAAGTCCTTCCACTCCATGATTCAGAAATGAAGCTAAATGTTCCCTGAGGTGTTAGAGCAACCAATTTTTTATTGTATTGTAGTGCTTATAATTAGAAAATGTTTGAGCACCTGCATGTAAATTTGAGGGACGATGAATAAATATTTCAAGGCAGTCAATAATAGCTGTTGTCTTTGTTCTGAAAGAATGTTTGAAGTATTGAGGCATTGTCTTCATGAGGTCTTCTCTTTCTGACCATGAAAATAAATGGGGGAGTCGGAGAGACAGTAACCCAATTAGACATAATACGAGAGACGGTAGAGATAAAATTCAAACCGACAGGTCTTGATGAGGTACATTAATTCTCAATTTCATCAGCACTAACATAATTTCCCGATATTTATCCAGTGTGGTGGATCGACGGTCTACAAAATGGAGCAACAAAACCGAGTGTTTTCTCAGGGATTTCAAAACTTGGCAGCCCAGTGTAGAATCGGGTTTTGTCATCATTTTCGAAGTAATCTTTGTCACGAGTCTTTGGCTTACTGTTGCAGTTAATATAGTCAAACTCATCAGTTTGAGTAGTAGCATCTACAACAAAATTTTGAGCATGGTGACCATTACTTGGATCAGCAGCCATGGAAAGAGTATCATCTAAATTTGTAGTATGCATAGTACCATCAAAAATAGTCTTAATAATGTCTCCTGCCTCATCAATATTAAGCAGTTTCGCCAGCCGCTCTAAACCAACCTCATGTTACAGTCTTTGTTTAATTGTCCATCCAGCCCAATCAGAAGGGCTCGTTTCCACTTTTGAGTGACTAAGCCGTGAAGTTGGGACCCAGTCAACACTATGCCTATCCAGTTTCCCAGAAACAAATTGTTTTCCACAGACTGTCATTTTCCAGTATTTCATCTGTTAGGTGTTCCCTACTGATTGCCGAAATCCACCTTCTGCTTCGTTCTGTGGTAAGGTATAATTCCCCTTGGTTCTTGATAATACTTGGAACTCGATAAAACGAAACTTAGTGCAGTCCGTTTTTGTTTGAGCAACCAACAATCCTGCACAAAACAATTATCATTGCTTTCTTATAACTTTCAATGAAATGTATTCCTTGATTTGAAACAAGGAAACTGTTGAGAAAGGCCAATTTTCTTCACTAATATTGACTAATACTATTGTGTGTTGTGTAGAAAATGTGGTACACCAGTATGGCGGTTACTAACCGTTGCCAAGAATATTGTCACGGAGGCGAAAATACCCTATTCTGTGAGACTTTAAATTGAAAGTTTCTGTTTATCAAGAAAATTGTTTTACAACATATTATATTTTTAATAACAATTCGATACGACTCTACGAGATTCCCGCGCAAACATATCAAGGCTTTGAAAATTAAGACTAAACCATCATGAATGATAAGAATCAAAGAGCCTGTGCAATCAATATTCGATACCTCACCATCATTACTTTTGCAATATAAAGTATATAATATAAACTTTTAAATTTAGCAAATACTAATTATGTAGGTTAATGCCAGGAGCTTCCTATATGGATTTGGGATTAACTCGTTAAGCATGATGACCCAACAGAAAGTTTAAACCAAGGTCTATATAAGTACAGGTCTCGTCACTTCGGAGTTCTGCGCAGCTTTCGGTGTTAAGGCCTATGACGTCACAAGGAGGAAGCTGAGAGCAGGGGGGGGAACTGGAGCATGGTAGGGTGGGAGGGAGATAATAGAAAACGGTAGTAAATGAGCAGATACTTAAGTAATTTTAGATGTCATGTTAAACGATTTCCATATTGGACAGATTTTACAGGCGATGATTATCGGCGATTGTTTGTAGGTCTATATCACATATTTTACGTGAAATTAGTTTTTGTAATTCTCATGTTGCAGCTTAGATATGGCATAATGAAGACGTAAAATAAATAAAGAAGACATGGAATATGTAAACTCCAAATGTTTTTGACAAATTTATTTTAAAACAAATCATACAGCAATAATAACATTAATAATAATAATGACAATACATAACCATACACATACATATATATAAGCTGCAACCAACCACTGGGCACTGTGGCTTTGCGCGCGCCAGTCAGTCAACCGAGCGAAAACGGAGAGAGAGGGCGATCCTTACGACTCTGCCTCACATCCAAGAATGACCACACGATTAGCGTCGAACCCCCGCGCACTTCCTCCTAGTGACGTCATGTGCGAGGCGGACGAATTTGAGTCGGTTAGGGACGAGACCTGTACTTACATAGACCTTGGTTTAAACAGCGTGGGACCGCAATCGAGTGAATTCCGGACATGGTGCTGGTATAAACAATTCGGTGCAATTTTGAGAATATGAAGAATAAAACACTGGAACTCATCGCGAGAATTGATTATGGCTGTAGGCGCATTTTTATACGAGAAAGATATAATTTAGCTCGGTTTGCTTTGACTTGCCGATTTTGCCGAAAATTGTCTTAATTCACGCCCGCAGTAGTGATGGTTCCCGTTTGTAGTGGGTGACAAGTGTAACCGTGGAAAAAACAAAAGGACGCTGTTATTAATTCGAGTGCATTTGGGTAAACTTTCTTCAACTTGGATTATCTGACAAAGAAATAAATCATTAAAAAAACATGAGCATATTATGTAACACAAAAGCTCGTAAATAACTAAATGAAAAAAGTCCACACATTTTAGGGGAACAAGTTAAATAAAGGTAAAAATACTTAAATGTTCGTCGACCATACCCAAGACGGACATAATACAATTATGAATACCTAGTACTTATCTTCTAGGGAATAATAAAGCTATTAATAATATCCAGTTAATGCCCGCAGCTTGGTAGTTTATCTTATCCATTGGCAGCATAAGTGATTTAATTGGGCATTTTCATAGAAATCCTCCCATCTGTTGGCCTTATTGGCGGTTTTACTATTGTGACTTTATGGAACTGTTGCAGCTTCCGCTAAAGAAAGATTTACATATTTGTTTTGATTAGACCAAGATATCTGACCAAGAAGTTCCGTTAAAAACAGGAATGAACAAAAAGTTATAAGATTTTTCAAAATATCTTGAAATAACTTGCTGGCAAAAATGGGACTTATGTATTATATAATCTTGAGTCTAGCGACGCATGAAATATGTAAATTTCTCTTTTTACGATAAAATAATTGTTTATGAAGTAATCAATACATGAAAAACAAGTTATCATAATGAAATAATAGCATAAAATGGTCATCGGGGAATTTTCCCAGCATTTTATCAACTCTCCCTACAGCTGACTTACACTATACCGCCACGTTAAAATGTCTTCTAGGTAAACAAATGAGCGTATTAAAAAAACACGTCACTAACACGTCGCGTCATGGGTTCTTTCCAAGAATATTTAGATGTGACGTGCCGGTTCCGTTAATTCAGCATTGTGTAATTATCTTCTGAATTGTAGTATCTAAATGTATAATTATCTTACATATAGTTTAATTTTAATCGTAACACTTGAAATTCCGTTTTCTTTTCCTCAGGATTTTATATACCCACATCTTTTTCATTTTAGAGTTGGACGAAGTTGCTCATGGAATGATGACGTGACATGATGAATGGTGTGAACAAGGTCTATATAAGTACTTATATAGACTGGGTGTGAATAAATGACAGGACGGTTACGTGATGTGACGTGATGGGGTAGTGTGAATCAGCCGTTTCTTTGTTTCTTCTGCTCCTCTTGCGGCCGTTACATCTGCCACGCAAGCCCACAGTCTTTGACACTAACTTTTCCTTTGGCAAGATTGCCGTTACTCTTAATCACGGCATCCAATCCTGACGTGACCTTTCCTAAACGAGTGCAGGCTAATGTCGCCCCTGGCCTGGCCTCCATCACGACACACACCTGTGCCGTTTCTCCCGATATGGATACCACATCTCCTGATGGTAAAAAGACGGAGTAGTGAGTACCTGAAAGACTGGCATGTGTTATATCATTTACTTGACCCCAATCCCGAGTCGTCTATATCACAAAGAGTGATACCATTAGCATTTACTCGCGCCCTCTACTTGCCCAGATTATATCTGTGCATTTCTAGTTACAGTTCCAAGTAGGAATAATAATAGCAATAATAATAATGATGCTAATAAATGGCCCCGGCAAAGGGGTAGCAATACAATGGCGGAACGTCTAAAATTACGGCTCTTAAGAGTAGAAGACGGTCTGCATCCCCCTGCCTCATCCTCACCCTACCCCTTGTCTGCCACAGCCTTGGGGTACGAAGAATTGGGCCGGGTATCGCCTGGCAAACGATATGCAGGATGCCTACTGTTCTGCCTCATAAACGTGTCTAAATCAAATGAAGGGAACGTAGCTATAGACTTAGTGAGCCTGATCAGACTCCTCTGTCACTTGGCTTACAGCATTAGCTAGGGCGGTTATAGGCGAGAGTCTCCTTCCCCTGGAACTCAGAGTAGGTACATCTTGAATATGACAACCTGACATTTAACATGGTAGTGGCTGTTTATGAACTATGGTTGGAATGTACGTGGCTCATAGTGTGGCCTTCCCCCCCACCCCACCCCACCCCACCACAAAACCTTGAGTGAAGAGTAAAGGCTTATAAAGTTATTGGGAGTATGGAAGAACTTCAAGATGTGACTAGATAAAACTTCTTGAGGGACACAGTTAAAGTTAGTCTCATATGCAAGTGGATGTATGGGACATATTTGTACAGAAACATGTACTATGTACATGTGTACAGGATGAGGAGGTAGGGTGGCCAGTTCCTTTCAACCCCATCTTTGGCACCAGAATACTAAGGTCATGCTTATACTCACAACTGAGTCGACTGAAAGAGGCAACCAGACATGAACCCAGGACAATGTGATTGTGAAGTCATCTCTCAACCACTGAGCTATGCCACATCTCGCAGGCCTTGTGCATTGGACGAGGTGCAGTACTTCTAGGTTAATGAATCCCCTTGGGAGCTGCTGACAAGCAATATCAAGAGAT